TTCATTTTAATATATAAACCAAAAACTGGTCCAAAGGTACGATGAACACAAAAAGGCATACATAAACCCAATAGTATATAAATCAAACCTCGCAACACACGCCATACAAAACAATCATAACTTTTCCTCACCAGAGAACATAAAACTCATAAAACAAGTCAATAATGGAAACCGCATGGACATTTGGGAAAACTTAAACGTCCATAAATTTAACAGTCAAAAATCACTTATCGAGGAACAAGCACAAATCAAAACACAACAAGACCTAACATTAAATATATTGAACAAATCAACATACACGCCTAGAAACAATAAACCTAAAGAAGATTTAACACAAAGAAAAGTACCTGATGTAATCCAAATACAGGCAAATTAACCTAAAGCAACAGAAGTGCCTGTATTGAGGCGTTCGGACCGTATAAAAAGACACACAACAGGATCACCATTTTGATCATTCCCATATTGATTTCAATTCAAGAACCCACCGAGGCTCGATTATCGATTAATCGAGGACCGCTTGCCTGGTACTGACGTTACTGACGATACCTAATAGGCTGAAACAGCTGTCTACCGGTGGCTCTTAAATTGAAATCAATATGGGAATTATCAAAATGGTACTTATTTATTCATCTTTTGCTTTTCATGGAATTATTTTCCAGCAGCTTGACTGCATTAACCTTTCTCGATATACATATATATTTACGTACACTTAGATGGAGCTGAAGAAATTTTACCTCAGTCGCGTGGTCTAAAGCAAACTCGCTTTTTTCACTTATGAAGCTTCCATGTTACTCACCTTATACCACACTCCTCTAACCGGTAGTCCAACAGACTCAGGGTTTTTTTTATAAATCTCCCTCTGGGTTTTGTTGTATATTTGAAAATTAGCCAACATTCCTGCCTCTGTTTGGGCATATGTTGGAACGATATCTGTATCTGGAAGTAATTCTTGGAGTGCAAAAAAATATCTTTTGGATAACGCTGCACCTCCGGTTGTTAACCTGATAAGCGAACTGCAACTAACGTCATCTGGTTTGCCAGATTTCACCAATTCTGTTACTTGAAATGGAGTGAGAAATCCACCAGATACCTGAAAATAGATAATGAATTGAGATATGTATATATTAGGATGTTTTAAAAGTTATGTCCGTTTTCATGAGTCTATTTTAAACTGTAATATTTCAGTGGATACTGATTCAATTCAATCGAAATAAAAGCCATTCAAATCAGTGTTTTCTTGCCAACGAAACACAATGTAGACACTCCAAACTCAAAAGTCCACGGCCTATCTGTTGTCGGAAGAAGTACAACAGTGGAACGGACAATTTAGGATACAAACTCCGATAGAAATGGATCATTTTTCGGGTCTTTACGTCGAGTTGATACGGCTTCTCCCGAGTCCACTTCACTACTCCAAACGAGTAAAGTAAGATTGAAACGGCAAGATTGTTGCAGCAACTTTGTTCTTCCCCGACAGTTCCGATAACCAGATCTGTCGAAGTTCGTGCTGATACTTGCCGCGAAGAGAGTTATTAACTGCTGTTACCCTTTGTGAGTGGCGTTGTTCCACCCCGAGGTAAGTATTCGTCTCTCCGGCATCCAGATGGTGTAGGATGCTTCCATCAAAGAGCTGCACATCATCTCCGTAGTCTCCGCATCGTCCTCTTTTGAGATGAACCATTGCACACTTGTCTATCCCGAATTTCATACCGATATCATGCGTGTACTCTTCCACCACCCTCAAGGACTGATGGAGATCCTTCTCTCCAGAGGCATAAAGTTCAAGATCATCCATATAAAACAGATGGGTGACGGATAATGGCAATAGTGAAATGCAGAAGAGAAGGGGACTGAGGGGATCACTCTGAAATACACTCCTTCTGAAAGTGACCCACCCTGTTTGGACTCTTGCTTGACCAGATGTTATAGTGAAGCGAGTTCGCCAAAGTGGTATCAGTTGTTCAATGCATCTCACTATGTTGTCGGGTACCGCAATGCATCTGAGCAAATGCAAGATGAGCTCATGCGTAATTGTATCAAATGCCTTACGGTAATCGATCCAGCCCATATAGAGGTTACGCTTATATTGTATCGAGTCCTGCGTTACACATCTATCGATGAGCAGGTTCTCTTCACATCCAGCGACTCCTTTCTTCGACCCTCTCTCCTCATATATCCGTTTGAACACTCGGTCAACTGCGGTGAGTATTTGTGTGTATAAATACTTGTAAACAACTTATAACACGAATTCAAGCATCTTATCGGTCTGTAACTCATAGGAATCGACGAATCTCCGCTTTTGGGAATGAGAACGGACCGCCCCTCGACAAACCAATCCGGAATCGGCTGCTCTCCATCCAGCCATGAGTTGAAAACTCTGGCCAGATGGCGGTGGGTCCTTGGTAGTTTTTTCCACCAATGAGTGTTCAGCCCATCTGGGCCTGTAGCAAGTTCTTGGAACCAACAAGGACCCTTCGAACGGCATCCGAGGTTATCGGGTTGCGCAGTTCATTGAGCTCAGGCTGTCGAAGCTCTCTGTTGGAAGCTTCAAACTACGCTAGGGCTGGAGTGTCTGAGGTGAGTGGCTGCGGGTGTTCATAGATATCCTTCCAGAAGGATTCCACCTGATCAGCGGTCGGCGGATTATCCACAATACGTGTAGGCTCTTGGAATAAGCGAGAAGGTTTCTCGAGGAACCTACGGTTTTCCGAAATACTTCTCGCTCGCCTCACTAGTGACTTTTTAGCAGCCACTAGCATTCGTATTCTATCAAGGCAGTGCTGTTTGGTGGTCAGCAGCACGCCTTGGCTTAAAGTGTGATGGATACGTCGTAGATTGGCTTCTGTTCGCTGCACTGCGGGCGTGAAAGGCCTATTGGCCGCCCTGTAATCCATCACACATTGGATACGAGACGCGTGTTGTCTCGCCGACGTGATCTTAGCCTCCATCTTGTGTACACGTCGTTCAATCTTCCGAACCGCAAGGCCGGGATTTCGTCCTTCCGATTCGGAAAGCGATTGGACGACGTTATACACGGCGGTGTTGATTTGCCAGATGTCAGCTTCTTCTGTTAGAACACTATGAATCTCCGCATCCAAACAAGCCAGATCTTGTGGCTTCAGGGGCCTAATCCTGTGGAGCGCCCTGCGTGTTCCGATTGACTGCATCGGTGGCATGATGCGAGTCTCCTCTCCAGCCGTGCCAACTGGTGGTAGAACTGTCACTTCTACCACTTCGTCAGCAGGCTGGGGAGGAGCTATATAGCCCTGACGCCGAAGATAGGATACGTAATCCCTAATATTTTGGGCGGTGAAGGCGGCATGCTCAGGATGTGTTTCACACCACAGAGCATGCAATCTCTCCATGTACCCTCTTCGCGCGGGCTCACTACTCTCGTAGCAATGCATATCTCTCAGCTCATGCGTCCACTCAAAGCGTCCGTTGTCATTACCAGGGTTGTCATCGGTAGGTAAATCATCTTTATGGGCCCCACCACCTTGCCTCTGACCCCTCCGAGCGGGTCGATTGTGGGGGCCTCTGCCTCGATTATTGGGAACCAAGTGTTGGGTCCACCGGGTGGTTAGCCCTGTGGACCCACAGTCGGCACCGGAGGGAGAATAGAGTTCTCCTTCCCGGGTGCGCCTGGGCTGCCGCTCCGATTTTGCACCAGTTGCTCGGGTAAGTGGCGTAGCAACTCACCAAAGGCCAAGGGTGTTAGTGCCCATCCCTGCTATTATTATTATTATTATTGTTACTATTATTATCATTATTATCACTATCAACTATAGGTCGATGATTACCAACTTCTTTCGACCTGAATTTGATGATTTGGACCCTTACGATATGTGCCACACAGCTTATGCAATATTGGATATTCTGTAAGAGCGATTTGAGGACATGATCATCTCACGTGTAGTTGAGTTGAACTAGCCACCGAGATCATGTGATTTGACCTCGTTTTAATTTTTCTTGTGGTGTTTTCTTGAGTCGCAGGTGCATGCGAATAAGTCACAAACCACAGCTGTTCTCAAAGCCAACATAACCTATGCCATCATTCAAATTCAGCCTGGTTTATGCGTCAGAGTCATGGAAATTTGGACGTTTCGAATGTGCTCCAGCCAGAGAAGAAGTGGCGGATATTCAAACGATATTATTTTTCACACATTATGGCATCAAACGAGTAAAAACTGTAGATGATATTTCATCCACACTTTGTTTTTTCAAATTTGAAGATAGGAAGCCTCAATGACAGAGTCTATAGTTACAAAGTCTTGTAGATGTATCTGAGAAATTATTATATTATATAATTATGGATCTGTGAAATCACAGCGGATTGAAGATCGAAACAAATTGTTTTATTGATAAAACCATGATGAAATGAAATAAGATATATTGATTTATCACTCACTTTGTATTTATCTATCAGATACCAGAATTCTTCTGGATTGAAATTGTTGCACAGCAGTCTACTAACTCCAGCGAAAATGGAGAGGAATAGTCCCATCCCCGCAGAGGTCCAGTACATAGAACCGTAATTGAGGAAGCTGCAATCTCCATTCTTTTTAACGGATAACTCATACAACTGTCTCTCTTTATCTACGTCATTATTCTTTGCCGGAGGCGCCAGAGGAGAATGGTTGTAAAAATAATAATGGTTGAGACAAACACCTTTAGGAAATCCTGAAGTACCGCTACTGAAGTAAATAATTAGAGTATCTATGGGATTTTCGATGAAAATTGGTTTGAATTCCTCTTCACTTTCTTGAGTTTGCAGAAAATCTTCGAAAGTAGCATGGTCTGAAGAAGAACCGAAGACTACTATTTTCGAATCAAGATTTCGATCATTAACAAACTTTTCTATTTTGGCCAGCGACAATTTCACAGTGAATATGATTTTGGGATTCACCTGCGTGATCAACTCCTCCATTTCGAAATCTGATAAGGTTGGATCTAAAGAACATGGTATGGCGCCTATGAAAAATGAAGCTATTAATGGCACACATGCGTTTATATTGTTATCTGAGCAAGTTGTTACTATATCTCCTTTTTGAATCCCCATTTTCTTCAGAGTTATGGCGGTTCTGATACTACGTTGAAGAAGTGATTCAAATGTGTCTTTCTGCCCGGTTGCTGCATCAATCTGTGGAAGAAGAAAAAATGAGATAATAATGTCCAGTTGTTCACTGTTCAAAAATCAATTGAGAAATGAATATGCTCTTGTCGAATTCACATGGTTATATAGAAGGTAAGAGATGTCACCTTCTTCTTCGTCCTTTAAAATGTATCTTTTACAATGCAAATGATTATAGATAAAATATATCAAAATTTGCAGATGCAAAAACATATGTGAGCATTATTTTTTGACGAGATAGTGAATTGTCAACCAATTTTAGTGGTGGAGTACAAGGTTGGTGTGAGAGTGGTACAAAGTTCTCGCTGAACCAATTTGGTTCAAAATCATCAAAGTTATTTTGGTTACAATTATGGCTGCGAAAGAAATGGTGGAAAAACTAAAAAAGATAGCATTAATAATAATAAAGGTCTTTATTATTTTCAAATAATATACATATAGATTTTAACATTGTATGCAAAAAATAAAAACATTTCTGAAAATAAAGGGCGAAGTTCATTTTCTGCAGACAAACGATAGNTTTTCCAAACAGTAGGGACAACACCCCTTGAAAGGCAGAAATTTATGATGTGTGTAATATATGGCACAATTAGAGGACAACAAAGTTTGATAAGTTTAACATTCAGCCCATCACAGCCCATTGCATTGGAATTAATTTTACAAATGCTGTCATATACAAAAGTGTCATTGACTTCTTTGAATTTAAAAGTGGAAGGAATAATATTGTTGGTGCTGTAAAAATTCATAAGATATTCAGGTGGGGCAACATTTGGAATGGAATTTATTAAAAAATTATTAATTTCACTTGGCTTCTTTAGATTTTCAGGAATTTCTTGATTTTTGTTTTTCAAGAAGTTATTTGTTCTCAGTGTTTGCCACAGCTTTTTTGAATCGGAATTCTCAAACTGATACAAAAAGTATGCCCTTTTCTCCCTTTTTATTGCTTGGTTTGTATAATTCCTGAGATCTTTATACAATTGAAAATGAGCGACTGACTTTGTTCGTTTATATTTATTCAGAGCTTTATTTCGTTCATTCATCATTTGTTGTAAGGCAAATGTCAGCCAAGGAGCTTTCTTTTTTGTAATTTTAGAAGTTATTATAGGGGCATGCCGATCAAATATGCTAGTTAAACAATTTACCAAGTAAGATACTTTTTCATCCACGCCTTCTTGATCGAAAATGACTGAATGGCACCAACGGCAGCATAGGAATAGCTTCTCTATGGTATGGAGAGTTAGGAAAACTCAGTATGGAGGATGGAGAGAAATATATGAAGATGAATGGGAAATAGAGAACGGAAGGAGTCGCTGGAATGGATGACGCAGAATTGGCAATCAATGGAAGAGCACTCGAGCTATGGAATGGAGAAGAATAATGCAAATAGTTGGAAGATGTTGAGAGAGATGTTGAGAAAGATTATATGAAGAAGAGGAGCATGATAGTGAGAATGGAGAAAATAGTAGAGCGCATCTAGGAAGTGAGATAAATGAAGAAAGATCAAGTGACACATAAGTGACACTAGGGATAATTGGAATGGGAGACCACTGATGTGAGAATTAGGATTATAATTTGAAATGAATGGAAGTTCGAATTGAATGAAGGAATGACTGAAAGACTGTAACAAAGACATTGTACGATAGTTGCATATGGTATGATCCTCCTTTCGATGAAGGTTGTCTAGTAGAAGCTGGGACATAGGAACTTTCCGGGATAACTGGTGAGATTTGGACTGAGGTGCGGGGCTTCGTGTCCCTACCAATGGAGGGAAACAAAGACAATGGAGCATGTTTGAGACAGGTGTCTAGGAAGTGAGCTAGTGGGATAGAGAGAGTAAAGGGAGCGTAACGAAAGGGAGGGAGGGGTGTGTCAATTGCTTGGTATTGATAAGATAGAGCAAGATATGGGTTGCATCCGTCAAAGTGTGGGCAGATAGAGTGATGAGAGAGAAATGAGTAGACTGCGGTCGACTGATCTTGAGTGTATGGAGTTGGGTCGTGACTTGGTGTGATCTTTCAGCCCTACAGTGCTCATAGTCGACCACCTAATAGATTTGGTTCAGGTTGAAATGTAGACTCTGTGATTTTTGTGGACTTTCATGAAATGAACAAGGCTCTTGTTACCCCGTTTTTTACCAAGCACATTGGATGAATAGATGTTCCCATGAACTAAAGTTCCTGGACAGCGGGTTTAGTTCTACTGTCACTATACTGTGAAGTACATAAACAACGTGTTACTGTTCTGCAAAACTATATCTTGCAGTTTATATTCCGATCTTCATCTTCAGATTTCGTGTCATCATAATATGTTACTTCCGTTAATTTATCGAAACTATTTATATTCACCAGAGTAATAACCACATATGGCATGAAAATCACCTGATATGAGCTTTCAGACTTCAATAAGCTCTCAATGATAAATTGAGTAGGTAGAGTAATTTACATGTGATCATGTTGTGTTCAATAAAATTACATTGTCTCATTATTTATTATTTTTTCTCTCAAGTGAAGTCTGAGAAGCACTTGAGTTAAGCAAACAAGGGGGCTGATTCATAAATCATCCTATATTTTTGGCGAACAGTTTGTATTCCAAATATTTGTTATGAAACTGAGTAGGATCATTCACAAGATTGCTACAAAATATAGTAAATGATATCTGATTCAATTCCATAACGAGTGTTACTTAATAGAGAATTGTTTTTTTGTATTAAGTGCGTAAAATGAGTGTTTTTTTAATGGCACATGAGAGTGCCATACCTGATACGAAGACCTATTACTCAAGAACGTTTACTGTTTCAAATTCTGATTATATTGAGTTATACCGCAAATGTAGAGCACTATTGCCACCTCATACAAAAAATAACAGATTATTTTTAAAATATTCGAGAGGAATACGTATCAACCAACATGTGGAGGTAAATAAAATAGTAGAAATTTTCAGCTTGGTGACAAAATGGCTTGGAAAAGACATGTATAAGAGCTACACAGGCCACTGTTTCAGAAGAAGCTCTGTAACTCTTCTGGCCAATGCAGGGGGCAACACATCCATAAAACGTCACGGTGGCTGAAAATCTGCCTCCGTAGAAGATAGTTTGAGTAACAAAATTGAGATTTCGAAGAAAATATTAAACGGTGCGTTTTCTTCTAAATAAATTGAATTATCTGATAAAACTGTGGAATCAACTCTTAATAAATATCTAACATTTCTGATTAGCAGCAGCAGAAAGGAATATATGTTGAAAGTAATTGTATCAATTAGTATTCCAATACAATAAATTGTTTCATGATGAATATTAGATGGACAATTGACTCTGTTGAAAATGATTATTTTGGCAGTGGAAAAAAGTTTTTTTTTCACGGTGAACATTTGGGCATCAATAGAGATGCATAGTTGTCAAAATTTTTTGACAGTTGTACAAAGAAGTGTTTTATTTTTTAATAATTCGGTGTACATGTGAGAGTAGTTTTTTCGAAAGTACTTTTCCTTCGTGTTTATATGAACTGTTAAGAGAAGAATATTACTTATGGATGAATATTACCTAGCGTCCCGATTCCACAGACCTTGCAATACCTCAGGGAATTACTAGAGAAAAATAATTCCAATAATAACGAAATCGATAAATTCGTTTCTCTTACTAATTTGTGTATGGAACAAAATCGGTTCCAGGTAGAAGGTTGCCTTCATGAACAACAGGAAGGAACGGCCATGGGAAATCCCTTGTCCCCCTACCTGGTAGACCTGTTCATGAGTAGATTCGAAATGGAAATCAAAGAAAAGTCGTATTTCCCTAGGATTTGGCTAAGGTATGTGGATATTTTCGCGATATTCGATACCAAAAAATCGAATATTGAGGACTTCGTTGCCTTTTTAAATAATAGATATCCATCAATAAAATTCACGTATGAGTTACAAAATAAGGAACAACTACCTTTTCTTGACGTTTTGGTAATGAAGAGCCAATATGGAGGGTTAGAATACGATATATTTGAAAAAGAAACATTCACATCACTGTGGAGAACACAAACGTGCTGGGTTGAATTTTTTGGTGCATCGTCTTTTGACTTTCCCTCCAACACATTATAGGTTCACAAAAGAAAAACGTACAATACAGGAAATAGCAGCCACTAACGGTTTCTTGAGGGGTATCGTAGATGACATGAAGAGGAAGAAGAAGTTTAGGTTGAGAATGAACGAAATCTCGACTTTCAGAAAGGACAAAAACCAAGATAGATACATCTCAGTTCCATACCACCAATATACGAAGAACTTTGGAAAGATTTTCATGGAACTGGGTATGAAGGTGGTTTTTAAAACAAGTCATACACTACAGAGCCTTTTGGGAAGTCCAAAAGACAAAGTCGAGAAATCGGAAAAGTCTGGAGTTTATGAAATTGAATGTAAGGACTGCGATGCAAAATATTACGGACAGACAAAAAGATCTATTGAAGTGAGTTATAAGGAACACATAGCCACTCAAAATATGGAAGACCTGAAAAATCGGCATATACTTCATTTCATTGACATTAGTTAGACAAGTTAACAACAACACGCAAGTAGATGCCTATGAGAGTGTAGAAATGAGTAAACATAATAATATTATGAATAACGATGACGGACCAATACTAAATAGCATACTATATATAGCTTGTTAAAATAATGTTGTTGGGTTTACTGATTACTACATAAGGACACATTGTAAAAAAATATTTAGATAGGCAATATTGTGTAATTAATTTTTTATATAGCTGAAAATTGTTTTATATATAGCTATAACATTTGTAAAATAATAGATAAGGCTAATTGTAACANTTCAGGGATTTCAAATCATTTTATATAGTAGACAATGGAAGTCCGAACTAGTGAAATTCATCATGAAACATTGTCAATCACCTTCAAACATTTTTCCTGGCTGTTCTGCCTCGCGATACATATTTGGTGACCACGCTGTATTGTTTCCTGATCAGAAATAATGTGGTCAGAAATGGGAAAACTCATTTATCATACGCCTG